GGAAATTTTGACACTGCCAATAGGATTTCGTCAAAACACGATTTCTTCTCTTCATTTAACATATCTTCCAAAATGCCTAGTCGCCTAGGTAGCGCTCATGTATCAACATCTTAGCCTTCGAAAGGCAGACGTTTCTCCTCGCTCATCGCCGCTGAGGGACGTTTCGCGAGGAGGAACGTCTGCGGCGATGAGCGAGGAGAAACGTCTGCCGTTCGCAGGCTATCAACATCTTTGCTGTATGATGCTTCAAGAATCTGAACTCTGCCTCATAGTCGTCACCATTAGCAGCTTTAACCAAGAAAGTCTCCATCTGGGCGTAGGAGCTGAAGCGTTCCTGATTAAAGTGCTGATCGATAGCACAGACGATAACATCAATAGCCTCGTAATAGACCCTTCTTAAAAGTGATCTTTGGCAGTTTAGGGAAACAGCTCACGGGTGTACCACCACCACCCTCCAGTCTGGCCGGAGGGCGTCGCTTTCTTGGAAGCGTCGGTTCGCCAACCAGGCGAGCAATGGTAGAAGCTCTGATCAGTGCACATTTTTGTAAGCGTCTTGTTTGTGACATCCGAGCCTTTGACGTGAGGCAAATATGCAAGAGTAGACGCCATTTATTACTTTCAAGTAGTAAAATCCATACTTTTTCCGTGTCAACTGGAGCGCTAGATAATAAATCCCAGCAATAAAAGTGGTAGGGCTATAGCCCTACCAGCCCCTCCCCCTCCGCGGTCCCTGGCCTACTCAGCCCCAGTCAACAATTGCTAAACTTGTCTAATAATTCATCTCAATTTTCGGCACCTCTGAAGACCTTACCGGTTTAATTACGGGCTAGATTAATTAATGAGGTAAGAAAATTGAACTGAAAATGATTGTCAATTCTTATGAATCCCTGAGAACTTCTGTATTGGAGGCTTCATTCTAACAACCTTTTGTATGGTAAAATATAGATAGAAAGATTTCCTGCTTTTAAGAGTTCTGAGTTTTTCTTCCCATAAGACTAAACTATCTCAACGAACAGTCGGCCAGATACAGTCAGACCTGTATACATATTTTACATTTCCTCGCCAAATCGTCAGCGGTGCGGAACAATACTTGATGATCTTGTAACAGCCCACTTCTCTGAAAAGCCTATCTTTTTGGTTAAAAACCTGTGAAGTTTTTCTTTGTTTTTTGGCTATTATTTTCCGTGGCTCTATTGTGTTGCTTCTTTGCATAAATTGTTTTACGTGAATAGTAAGTTTCATAGGTTTTTACACCGAGTATGAGCCCAACTTTATTATCGCCAAGCTTTCATGGCCTTCAAATGCATGACCTGTCAGTCGACTAGTTCCATCCTTTCACCTTATATTCACCCTCCCTTTCAACTCTTTCAAATACCTCCCCTACAAAACAATTCTTTCAAATCAGTCAGCCGCCAAGAAAAAAAACAACAAGAATAGCAAATGCGATTTATTTCTCAAGGAATAACAGAAAATTTTTTTAAACTCTTTTATTATTGATATGCATAAAAGTTGAAAGGAAAACTAAACTTAAAACTGCCCCTTGCGATTTATGTCATAATGTATCATCTTTTGCAAAAATATGCAAAGACCAAAGAATCTGGAGAACTAGTTTAAAAGAATTGTATTTATTGAATTCATTTCATATTCCTCAATTTCCTTTTCCGTGCTCTCTTTTCCTTTCGATTTTCGCTTTTCCCGACTGATTGTCTGGAACAGACTAGGTTAACTTCTATTAAGCGGTCATCTTTATTAACAATGATCGTGGTCATCTTTTGCGGCCTACGTCGGCATTGAGTTATTTCACTGACTCTCTAGACTTTTCACAGTCCTCTATTTTTCCGTAAGATCATCGAGATCGAGCACTTTGTGTTACGGGCTGCCACGGGGGCGGTTTGGAAGGAAGCGAGAAAAATAGAGCTATAATCCCCGACGCCCGCCCCCTCGGTACATTTGAAAATCAAGATACCCGTGACAGTAAGACGCGGTATATCTAAACGATCTCACGAAAAAATAGGGGACTGTGAACAGTCTACTGACTCTCGGGACGGCCACTTTGTTAACGAGATAGTACCATCGATCAGTGAAATGTAGGCTCATGATGAGTATGGCTTGGTATGATCGGTAATGTCTCTTCTTTTAAAACAAGATGAGGTGAAACACGTTATTTTCATTTTTTTATGGATACTTCTTCTCACCATTATTACTTTTTTAATTACTACTCTTAAGTTTGTTAAACATTCGATCCCTTTTTAAACGGTCAGCGCCGACCGTTTAATTAGTTATAATACAACTTCCGGATTGTAAATCATTTATTTATAACATCTATTAAAACATAATAAGGAAAAGCTGACATTGTACTTGAGGGTACTTACTTTTTTGCAAATTATTTTTTTAGAAAAAACTTATTATGTTATCCTTTTCATGATAGATAAGAGCGACTGTATTTGACTTGGCTTTATTAAAAAAAATTCTGCCTCTTATTAAGTGGAGGGCAAAACAGAAGGTTGTTCTTTTGCACTTTTATTACTCCCTAATAATTAAACTGGACAATCTTTAGTTCTACTTTTATTAAGGCAATTACATCATGCTTTGAGTGGTTCGAAAACGGTGGGAATAGCAATTCTAATTTCACTAAATGTGAATGTGGGCTGGGGAGGGTTGTTAAGAGCTCATTCTTGACATAACAAATTGTCCCACGTTTCAAAAGACTAGCTGACACTGGTTATCATGCAAAAGCTGTTTCAGACTGTTGATCAGTTTAATCAAATAATTTATTTTCATCATGGCAATAACTTTTTTGTATAATAACGTTTGCTATTAATAACACACTTATTTGCGTTTAATTGTGAATAGTTCATTCAAATACTACTAAAGACAAAATCATAAAAAAGATCGACACATTCTCTTGAGCTGGCCGATTCGTGGAAAAAAAATAGGATTTAGACGATCGCGCTAGTGCTCAATTCTTGTAAGTCACTGATTACAGAAATACGAGTCGTTCTTACTAATCACAAATGGATATTTTTGCTGTTTTAGAGTTCTTTTTCAATAGAAATGAAAGAAGAAAAATAATGCTTCTTATTGCACACTACGGTGAAAATGTTGAAATGGAGTGAAGGGCTCAAGATCAAACACAAATCTGAGGCAGCCTGAAACATGCTAAAAGAATATGGAATTTCTTAGCCTCTTAGTTTTCGCCGGGTACAATAAAAATAGAATAATGAAGCCAAATTACGAGTTATAAAAGTTATAACACATAGATCTTATACCATGTCAAAATACGTAAAGAGATCTCCAGTTCAATGTCAAGTAGCATTAGAACTTTGCGAGCACATGTAAGATTATCGTGTAAGTCTTGGATGAGGACAAACCGGAGTCATTTTCACCTACTAACCATGGTAACAACCTTCAAGAGTGGCTACAAATTAACTCTTACCAGTAAAAAGCCATCACCTTGTACTACTGTACTAGTCTGCAGACGTGAAGTCAGCTTCTTGATAGGAATATAGGTTATATTATATCTGAGATACCATTGGCAACTATAGTTAAGTACTTTCTGTATAATTAATATACAAGTTTGTTATCGCATCCTATTTGCATGCAATTTTTTAATTTTGGTTTTCGGTTTTAAATTCAAAGTTGAATTAAAATTCTTGCTTGAAATGCAATCGCTTTTAAATGAAATTTGCTTATTATGCTCCTTGCAAGATTTTCATGTAGTTTCCATTTTTGTTACTACAGCTAGCACCGCGTGCACGTTGTAGGCAGATCTTGACAATTATGCTCGGTTTGCAAGTTCTTGACTGACATGGCTACCTTGAGAAAAAAATGCCAATAATGAATTGGTTTCTTTCTTTCATGAATTAGCCTGTGGCTCGCGCTGTATGGCCTTCTCTTTGTCCTACCTCCGACAAGAGAACCTGTTTACAGGCTACTTAACAAACGAGAAGCAAACTGGAGCCGAAATGCGCCCCGAAATTGTTTCTGGGATAGTTACTGCCTTGCCGTTCAGCTATTGGCCAATTTTTTCAATGTCCCTATTAACAATCCCAGAAGTCCTTGCGGCCGTTAACTAGCTCAACTTGTCTTCTCGTGCCTAAAGTGGCGAATAGCAATTGATCTGAAGCCTAAAATTATTGGTTTTGACGGGTTGAAAAAACTGGTTATTGATGATGTTAGGATTCCTGGCCTGTGTTTGGATTTCATCTATTCTCTGTGGGCACGTTAACGGATACCTTACTGAACTTGGAGGTAGGTTCTACAGAGGCTCCACTCCTTTATTTTAATGCTCAAAACAAGATGATAAAATAGCGAACCAAAAACCACTATTGAACACTAAGTAATCTTGCCGATATCGGCAGCATTGCATCATCACTTTCCTAATTGTTTGTCTAAGGAAATGAATCAAATCAACTTGGTACGATCAATTTATCATGCTAATGCACGTATTAAATCTTATCTGCGGCCTACAAAAAACCCATTTCATCACTTATTTTCGATTAACCTTAAAAATAAATCTAAGAACATCTTTGTATTGATTATATTATATATGCATGCTTACCTTAGTCCCAAGTGGAGCATATAAGTCACTCAGTTGATGATTTCGTCTCTCCATCTGGTTCGATCACCCTCCTGAGTTAGCATTTGCGGCAACTTGCCAAATGTTTAATTGAAGTACAAAGCTGGTGAACATTTTCTGTTAAATAAGAGCTGAAATTCTTATTTTGCTAAGAATCATTGCGCTTACCTCATGGTCTAAAGACCGGCATCTTTTCCGACTATCGAGGCTTCGAAAGGCTCAGCTATTTTCAGCAAGCGGAAATTGCTCGGGCTGATACTTCAAACTCCGCATCATTACAATCATCATTACATGTTTACAAACTAAACGTTATTAATTGTACGATGGCTTTGTTTTTTCATATCTTTTCTCCTTTTTTTCATCAGATTTTGCGTTTTACTTTCCGACCAAAGGCGTCAACGACTATGTGAACATCTGGGGCATGCCTAGTTTGAAGCAGTTCACGCTTTGTTTCTGGATGAAGTCAAGTGCTGGTAATGGTGGAACAGTTCTGAGTTACGCTGTACCGGGACAAGACAATGAATTGCTCTTCTTTGATCATACGAACATTGATATGAACCTCGGTGGACAGAGCAGGTTTGTCATGCTTTTAATCAACCTTTAATTGTTAGTAAATGAGGGGTATATTGCCTACAAATATACCCCTTCAGCTGATCAAAATAGAGTATTTTACCTAATTGGAGTATGTCTTACGTCGACCTATTTTCATGAACGGGCAGACACAAGCTAAATCTGATAAAACTTGTTCAACCATAACAGTACGAGTCCTTGGGGATAAAGCACAGTGATATAAAGATTGCAGTGGACTAGAAGACTCGTACCCAGACCCTATTTACGTGTTTTGGGGGTGAGAGAAGATTGGGGGTTAGGTTGAGGCGCGCGGGGTGTCATGTCCCTTCCCATGAGACCCCGCGTGCGCCTCAACCTAACCCCCGATCTTCTCTCACCCCCGACTGGGTACGAGTCTGGTGGACTAGCTACATTTAGTGGGGGAGTGTGTAGAGGAGACTAGTTGAATGGGGAATTTTGGTTGACAGGCTGAACTGAATTCAACACTATTTTTAGACTACACACTACTTTCAATAGTGATATCCTCCTGTCATGTAACCATTGCTTTACTAGGCCAGGAGAGATTAAACCCTTTCCCTTTTTTCTGCACCAGGAATACATCGTTTCATAGGCATGATACTTGATTTTGTAAACGGCCATATCGATATTTCACGTGATCGTGAGGCATTTATGTTGCTACTTGTTTCATTTGATTTTATTATATCTTATCTATTATCACAGGCTTCTAGGGATATCATCAGCAAATGATGGCAAGTGGCATCACATCTGTGCCTCCTGGAGGAGCAGTGACGGGGCGTGGCAAGGCTACAAAGATGGAACCCTGACAAACAGCAGTACAGGCTTCAAGAAAGGATACACTATCAAGGGGGGAGGATCGTTGATCCTCGGGCAGGAGCAAGATGCAGTGGGTTCTCGGTTTGATTCCAATCAGGCCTTCATTGGAACCCTGTCAAACCTCAATCTGTGGAGCCTTATTCTACCGGTTGAAAAGATCAAAGATTTGTCCAAATCGTGCAAGCAAGATTGGGGAGGAGACGGTGACGTATATAAGTGGATTGATTTCCTCTACGGAATAAGAGGAGGAACCAGGATTGTTATGCCTTCTCCCTGTCCACGATAAACGGGTCACAACACGTCACTGTAGGCCTTCTGCACCCCTCATGTGATAGCATGCTGTTCGTGTTAATCGTAGTATAATACTGACTGAAAACTTGTCAGAGTAACTTAGTTTTTGATAGTGTTATAAGTCTGAAAAAAAAGGAAAGAATAAAGGCTTTATAGCTTGTTCAGCGAGAATTGTTTGGTTGTGTCGTACTCCTCACTTCTTGTTTTACTTATCACATCTTTGCTGGGTAGCCGTACAATTTAACGGCACATTGTTTGCGTTGATTTCCCATTTATTTCCTTGCTACCTTTGGGACCTATATCTTGCTTCTGTTGATATCCATTTATACGAGGTTGCGCAAGTTTTTGAGGCAGTTTAATTGAATCCTTCTCGTAACTAGAAAAACCTGTACCGCAGAACCTCGCGAGGTCCTTGTCCTCTGTCTCTTGTTAACGGCTTCTTCTTCGCAGGGCAAAGCGATATTCTCTCTGCTCCACTCGGGTCTCTTGTTGACGTCTTCCCCTTAGCTGTTCACTCTGAATTTCAAGTCGGAGTTCTCGCTCCAGAGGAGTTTCGGTGGGAAATCTTCCCCGGCTAGGATTTCCAGCCATTTGGTGAATCCAGCGTTGCTGTGCTTGCTTTTCTGTGTTATTTGCATGGGAAATTTATCGTGATTCACCGACCGTAAACATTGTTTCATAGACATGATAGTGCGCCCTAGTCATCGGTGGCAAATTTCAATGCAGTGTTGCTTGGAAACACATTGGGCGACATTTGGCAAACACCAAGAGATACAAAGATTCATAAAAAATGGGGCCCCCAAGTTTGCTAGTAGCTAGACCACGCGAGTTCTCGCGCTGCGCACGCTCGCGACGAGATTATAAATTCGCTTTCGCGAAGGACTTTTGGCGCCTCGCTTCGCGAGGAAGTAGAGGACTGGTATACACGGCTTATTTAACGAGCTTCCAGAAAGAAGGCATGAACAATATCAGTTTTTTTTCCACGTCTACACTCTCAAAATAAACAGTCAAATATTTTTATCTTGGTATCCACTAATGATTGTTTTTTTTTTAATTGCTCTGGCGGCTGGTGACAATGTTAGTCAGCAAAATCACACCCCAAGCATCCAGTACCCAGCACCTTATATTTCTGGCCCCTACCCCCTTTTTTCTTGACTTCCACTTTTAAGCCCTTCTTCGATTGCGATTGTGGATTTCTCTTTATTTCTCCAACTTCCCAAGTTTTAAGAACTCCAACGGCACCTCCTGCTCATTTATCCCCCGCCTCCCGTCCCCTTTTCTCCCACACTCCCTTCCCCTGTCTTCCCTCACGGAGAACCACCAAAGGGTATTGTTTAAAATTGTTTAAAAATTTATTTGCCTAAAAAAGATTCAACAACGGCTCCTTTTACTGCTCACTCACAAACGAAGGTATAAAGATAATGTCTTCAGATCTAGTGCTCGTATTCAAAGTGTCCAAAATATTTATGCAGTGGTTTCAAAGCAAACTTGAACTGTTTTTTAGATTACATGATCCCTTTATCTACTGAGAGTATCAAGTGGCGTCAACTGTCGAGTACCAACACTCAACAGTTTATTCATTCCAATCACATCGAAAATGACCACACCCATTTCAGTCTCAATTGCCATTAGCGGTGAAGGAAAACTAATCTCCCCCTGGAAGTCAGCCTCGTTATCCTGTGGAAATATAAGTTCTAAATTGAGTTCTGAAAGGGCCCAATAGTCTCTAAGCTCATGTGCATCTTGAAAGGACTCCGGAGATAATCTACTCTGAGGATTCAGTGTCTGTTTTTAAATTGAAAAGCAAAAGCAACGGAGACCAATTTAAACTCAGCAGTAAATTAATGGCTACGGATGCTGACTTTAGTGCTGTTAACAGGTAACTTATAATCAGTGGGAAAATCATAATATTCACCGATGAACAACTGAGTTATTAGGATTATTACCCTGTATTTAATTAGGAAAGAGGGAAAATTTAAAGTAAATTGAAATTTAAAGTGCCACTGAAATCTTCAATTTGTCGGTTGACAGAATTTAAAAAAATTACTAGATGACGAAAGAGTTACAAAGTGATTTCTTCACTTCTAAACTCACTACTTTATAATGATCTGTAATTTACACTTCTTAACGAGAAACAGACACTTATATTTCTTTGTAAAGTTCCGGCCAAATTATGTGTTTATTTTTATGGGATTGATTTCCGAGCATTTCCTACCCTCTCGATGCCAGATGTCTTCTCTCTCGCCCGCGGCGAGGAGTGTAAAGAACGTAGAATACGTTCTGCAGAATACTGGAGAACAAGAGACGCACTAAGAGAAGGCAAACAAAGAAGATTACCATGATATGAGCTCTTCATTTGGCTTGTGCCAGCACGCGGGTCAACTTTATTCCTGAAACTGCAATCTAGGAATAACTTCACAGTTTTTATCCGTTTTTCCACATTTGTTTCTACCCCGTCACTAGTTTAACTTTAAAATTTGCTGTCAATCACTTGAAGTCATTTTCCCGCCAAACACCGTTGAAATCGAAAAACAAAAATATACGATTGTTTGGAATACAAAGTTCTGACTACTACCATTCAAACGGATAAAAACTGTCAAAGTTTTTCCTAGATGGCAGTTTTAGGCGTAAAGCTGACCCGGCGTGCAGGGGGTCCGTTGCTCTCCGGTGTGGTTTTTTTGTACCACGTGAATGACCACCTGCAAACGGCCTTTAAGGAAGTAGCTTATTTACTCCATATAAGGGGAATTATTATTCATTCAAAATATTTCACCGTTTCTGATTGGCTCAAAGCTGCCGGCTAATTCTTCATAACTGACGTTGACCAATTTTGGAAGATGCGAGCAATATACCATCAATTCGATGGTATTGTCGTGGAAACGAGGTTGATCGATAGTGATCGATGGTATATTGATTTGGAGACGAGGTTGGATGGGCAATAGACCATCCATCAGCCTCGTTTCCAGGCGCGGCGACCCAGCCATTTATTCACGAGTGTACCAAGAAACGGACTGCTATCCAAAGACGAAATAGCTAAATTTCTGAATAAAACTGAACGGAATGAAAGCAAGAATACGCAGAACACATTGCTCGATGTATGTTTTCTACTTTTCTAGGAGTAACTGTAAGAAACAAAACCTGTGTTTATATCCTGAAAATGTGCCAACAAAATAGGCCAAATTTTAGAAGAAAGTCTACCAGGAGTTAAGCTTGTTATAATTAAGTGCTTTAAAATAATTTAAATGAACAATAAAACACATCCTACTCAGCCTCAATCAATAATTGCTAAACTTATCTAATAATTCATCTCATTTTTCGGCGCTTCTGTAGACCTTACTGGTTTAATTACGGGCTAGAGTAATTAATGAGATAAGAAAATTGAACTGAAAATGATTGTCAATTCTTATGAATCCCCAAGAACGTCTGTATTGAAGGCTTCATTCTAAAAACCTTTAGTATGGTAAAATATAGATAGAACGATGGCCTGCTTTTAAGATTTTTGAGTTTTTCTTCCCATAAGACTGATTCAGAACTATCTCAACGAACAGTCAGCCAGATACAGTCGGACCTGTATACGTATTTTACATTTGCTTGTCGAACCGTCAGCGGTGCGAGACAATACTTGATGACCTTGTAACATCCCACTTCTCTGAAAAGCCTATCTTTTTGGTTGCCTGGACCAACTTTAGGGGCATACTTGGTGTTAAAACCTGTGAAGTTTTTCTTTGTTTTCTAGCTATTATGTTCCTTGGCTCTATTGTGTTATATTATCACTTGACTTTTCAGTGGCTTCTTTGTAGTAATTGTTTTACGTGAATAGTGAGTTTCATAGGTTTTTACACCTGGTATGAGCCCAATTTTATTATCGCCAAGCGTTCGTGGCCTTCAAATGCATGACCGGTCAGTCGACTAGTTCCATCCTTTCACCTTAACTTATATTCACCCTCCCTTTCAACTCTTTCAGATACCTCCCCTAGAAAACAATTCTTTCAAACCAGTCACCCGCCCACAAGAAAACAGAAACAACAAGAATAGCAAATGTGATTTGTTTCTCACGGAATAACAGAAAAAATTTTTAAACTCTTTCATCATTAATATGCATAAAAGTTGAAAGGAAAACTAAAAACTTCAAACTGCCCCTTGCGATTTATGTCATAATGCATCATCTTTTGCAAAAATATGCGAAGACCAAAGAACCTGGAGAACTAGTTTAAAAAATTGTATTTTTATTTCATTGATCATGAATTCATTTCATATTCCTCAATTTTCCTTTCTGTGCTCTCTTTTCCTTTCGATTTTCGCTTTTTCCGACTGATTCTCTGGAACAGACTAGGTTAACTTCTAGTAAGCGCTCATCTTTATAAAGAATGATCGTGGTCATCTTGCCCGGCCTACGTCGGCATTGAGTTATTTCACTGACTCTCTAAACTGTTCACAGTCCTCTATATTTCCGTAAGATCATCGAGATCGAGCACTTTGGGATACGGGCTGCCACGGGGGCGGTTTGGGAGGAAGCGAGAAAAATAGAGCTATAATCCTCGACGCCCGCCCCCTCGGTACATTTGAAAATCAAGATACCCGTGACAGTAAGACGCGGTATATCTAAACGATCTCACGAAAAAATAGGGGACTGTGAACAGTCTACTGACTCTCGGGACGGCCACTTTGTTAACGAGACAGTACCATCGATCAGTGAAATGTAGGCTCATGATGAGTATGGCTTGGTATGATCGGTAATGTCTCTTCTTTTAAAACAAGATGAGGTACAAAACGTTATTTTCATTTTTTTATGGATACTTCTTCTCACCATTTTAATTTTTTAATTACTTAACTCTTAGGTTTGTTAAACATTCGAACCTTTTTTAAACGGTCAGCGCCGACCGTTTAATTAGTTATAATACAACTTCCGGATTGTAAATCATTTATTTATAACGTCTATTAAAACATAATAAGGAAAAGCTGATATTGTATTTGAGGGTACTTACTTTTTTGCAAATTATTTTTTTAGAAAAAACTTATTATGTTATCCTTTTCATGATAGATAAGAGCGACTGTATTTGACTTGGCCTTATTAAAATTCTGCCTCTTATTAAGTGGAGGGCAAAACAGAAGGTTGTTCTATTGTACTTTTATTACCCCCTAATAATTAAACTGGACAGTATTTAGTTCTACTTTTATTAAGGCAATTGCATCATGCTTTGAGTGGTTGGAAAACGGTGGGATAGCAATTCAATATTTCACTAAATGTGAATGTGGGTTGGGGAGGGTTGTTAAGAGCTCATTTTTGACATAAAAAATTGCCCCACGTTTTAAAAGACTAGCTGACACTGGTTATCAAGCAAAAGCTGTTTCAGACTGTTGATCAGTTTAATCAAATAATTTATTTTCATCATCGCAATAACTTTTTTGTATAATAACGTTTGCTATTAATAACACACTTATTTGCGTTTAATTGTGAATAGCTCATTCAAATCACTACTAAAGACAAAATCATAAAAAGATCGACACATGTAACCGACATTCACTACCGAAAACCCAGTGGCAGGACAAGGCGACAGGCACTGTCTCTTGAGCTGGCCGATTCGTGGAAAAAAAAATAGGACTCAGACGATTGCGCTAGGGCTCAATTCTGGTAAGTCACTGATTACAGAAATACGAGTTATCTTACTTATCACAAATGGATATTTTTGCTCTTTAGAGTTCTTTTTCAATACAAATGAAAGAAGAAAAATAATGCTTCTTATTGCACACTACCGTGAAAATGTTGAAATGGAGTGAAGGGCTCGAGATCGAAAACAAATCTGATGCAGCCTGAAACATGCTAAAAGAATGTGGAATTTCTTAGCCCCTTATTTTTCGCCGGGTACAATAAAAATACAATAAAACCAAATTAAGAGTTATAAAAGTTATAACACATAGATCTAGCTTATACCATGTCAAAATACGTAAAGAGATCTCCAGTTCAATGTCAAGTAGTATTAGAACTTTGCGAGCACATGTAAGATTATCGTGTAAGTCTTGGATGAGGACAAGCCGGATTCATTCACCTACTAACCATGGTAACAACCCTCAAGAGTGGCTACATATTAACTCTTACCAGTAAAAAGCCATCACCTTGCACTATACTAGTCTGTAGACGTGAAGTCAGTTTCTTGGTATGTAGGAATAGGTTATATAATATCTGAGGTACCGTTGGCAACTATAGTTAAGTACTTTCCGTATATTTAATCAGCAGGTTTGTTATCACATCCTATTTGCATGCAATTTTTTATTTTTGGTTTTCGGTTTTAAATTCAAAGTTGAATTAAAATTCTTTCTTGAAATGCAATCGCTTTTAAATGAAATTTTGCTTATTATGCTCCTTGCAAGATTTTCTTGCAGTTTCTATTTTTGTTACTACAGCTAGCACCACGTGGACGTTCTAGGCAGATCTTGACAATTATGCGCGGTTTGCAAGTTCTTGGCTGACATGGCTGCTTTGAGAAAAAAATGCCCAATAACGAATTGGTTTCTTTCGTTCATGAATTAGCCTGTGGCTCGCGCTTTATAGCCTTCTCTTTGTCCTACCTCCGACAAGAGAACCTGTTTACAGCCTATACTTAACAAACGAGAAGCAAACTGGAGCCGAAATGCGCCCGCAATTGCTTCTCAGGGATAGTTACTGGGGATGTGCCGGTCAGTTTTTGGCCAATTTTTTCCCTGTCCTTAGTAACAATCCCAGAAGTCTTTGCGACAGTTAACTAGCCCCACTTTGCTTCTCGTACCTAAAGTGGCGAATAGCAATTAATCTTAAGCCTAAAATTATTGGTTTTGACAGGTTGAAAAAACTGGTGATTCATGATGTTAGGATTCCTGGCCTGTGTTTGGATTTCATCTGTTCTCTGTGGACAAGTTAACGGATACCTTACTGAACTTGGAGGTAGGTTCTACAGAGGCTCCACTCCTTTATTTTAATGCTCAAAACAAGATGATAAAATAGCTAATCAAAAACCACTATCGAGCACTAGGTAATCTTGCGGATATCGGCAGCATTGCATCGTCACTTTCCTAATTGTTTATCTAAGGAAATAAATCAAATCAACTTGGTGCGATCAATAAATCATGCTAACGCACGTATTAAATCTTGTCTGCGGCCTACAAAAAACCCATTTCGTCACTTATTTTAGATTAACCTTAAAAATAAATCTAAGAACATCTTTGTATTGATTATATATGCATGCTTACCTTAGTCCCAAGTTGAGCATACAAGTCACTCAGTTGATGATTTCGTCTCTCCATCTGGTTCACCCTCCTGAGCTAGCATTTGCGGTCAATTGCCAAATGTTTAATTGAAGTACAAAGCTGGTGAATATTTTCTGTTAAATAAGAGCTGAAATTTTTATTTTGCTAAGAATCATTGCACTTACCTCATGGTCTAAAGACCGGCATCTTTTCCGACTCTCGAGGCTTCGACAGGCTCAGCTATCTTCAGCAAGCGGAAATTGCTCGGGCTGATACTTCCAACTCCGCATCACTACAATCATCATTACATGTTTACAAACTGAACGTTATTAATTGTGCGATGGCTTTGTTTTTTCATATCTTTTCTTCTTTTTTCATCAGATTTTGCGTTTTACTTTCCGACCAAAGGCGTCAACGACTATGTGAACATCTGGGGCATGCCTAGTTTGAAGCAGTTCACGCTTTGTTTCTGGATGAAGTCAAGTGCTGGTAATGATGGAACAGTTTTGAGTTACGCTGTACCAGGACAACACAATGAATTGCTCTTCTTTGATCATACGAACATTAATATGTACATCGGTGGACAGGGCAGGTTTGTCATGCTTTTAGTCAACCTTTGATTGTTAATAAATGAGGGGTATCTTGCCTACCCCTTCAACTGATCAAAATAGAGTATTTTGCCTAATTGGAGTATGTCATACGTCGACCTATTTTCATGAACAGGCAGACACAAGCTAAATCTGATAAAACTTGTTCAACCATAACAGTACGAGTCCTTGGGGATAAAGCACAGTGATATAAAGATTGCAGTGGACTAGAAGACTCGTACCCAGACGCTATTTATGTGTTTTGGGGGTGAGAGAAGATTGGGGGTTAGGTTGAGGCGCGCGGGGTGTCACGTCCCTCTCCTTGAGACCCGGCGTACGCCTCAACCTAACCTCCAATCTTCTCTCACCCCCAAAACACATAAATAGCGACTGGGTACGAGTCTGGTGGACTAGCTACATTTTGTTGGGGAGTGTGGAGAGGAGACTAGTTGAATGGGAAATTTTGGTTGAATGGCTGAACTAAATTCAACACTATTTTTAGACTACACACTATTTTTAATAGTGATATCCTCCTGTTATGTAGCCATTGCTTTACTAGAGGGTCTCAATGGGGTGGTGGCTTTTACGGTTATCGGCTAAAATTTTAGCCTTTTTACGGCTATCGGTTAATTTTTTTCAGTTACGGTTAACAAAAAAGTTAAAAATTAATTTCTTTTGTTTCAAAGAGTTAAATATTATTAAACCTGTTTTTTTTTTTGTATCTTTAAAGCAAAATAAAGATCTTAGGATCATCTCGGGATGAAATTTGCTATTCTTTTGAAAAATTTTAACATTTGATAGACCATAATTTTTATAAAGGATTCCACTTCTACTATTGTTTTACACATAGAAATGTCCACAGTCAATTCAAAATTAATCTTCGTGAAAAAGCAAAAGTAGACACGCGAACGCCCAACTCGAGGCCGGGGCGCGACATACATTTATAACAGAAATGGCCGTCTTCACACTAGAGACGGATTATCCGTGTGAGACGGGTTATCCGTTTCATAATTAGCGTCAGATAGGTAATACGTCTTAATTTGAAAATGGAATGGTTTTAACTTGAATGATCGGGAACAATCCGTCTGACTTTATCCGTCTGTTTATCCGTCAATTTTGACGGGCAGTTTGAAGATGGATTATCCGTTTCAAATAGCCTGTGTACAGCCGCCCCCTACCCTCAGAAAAAATCGGGGAAGGGTTGTTTGTGGGGGAGGGGCCGACTGTACACAGGCTAGTCTCAGACGGATAATCCATTTCTAGCTCTAGTGTGAAAACGCCCAATAACAAAATGCGATCCGGAACGATTGCGGATTGCCTTGTCCGTAGGCCTCATTATTCTGCGCGGCTCATGCGTTTCGGGTCACGTGGTCCGAGCGAGTTTTCCTCTCAGAAACGCCACCCAATTACCTTGACCGAGAAGGCGTGGGAAGACGCCGTACAGGGGCTAGGCATGGCAATGTCTACCGTAGCGTCAGAGAAAAACAGGGAATTGTTACAAGGAATTGTTGTTTATCGGCAATGTGTTTAACAAACAGTGACATCTCTGCGTGTTGTTTCACTAGTATTTCGAGGGCACGACCTCCTGAAAATCGCAAATATTAATCCCCACCAAGAAGCCAGATTTTCGCTAACGAAAAAATTAGTTCCCCGAGAGAACGGCGAAAAAGGAGCCTAGATCTAGGTCAACACCTAAAAGGCGCTTCGCTTTGACGGAGTCATAGTAACCGTGAAATAAAAAACGCAACCACAGGTGAGTTTAGCACCTTCCTTAAAGTTAACAAATCTAGGGAACAAATTCTTTTACGGTTAACTCTTTTTTTACCCTATTTACGGCTAACGGTTAAAATTTTTCAATGTTTACGGCTATCGACTAAATTTTTGGCCGTTTTACGCCTATCAGTTAACCCCATTGAGACCCTCTTACTAGGCCAGGAGGGATTAAACCCTTTCCCTTTATTTTCCCTTTTTTCTGCACGAGGAATACATCATTTCATAGGCATGATACTTGATTTTGTAAACGGCCATCATAATAAACATTCCCACACCGCCTGCGGAAAGATCGATATTTCACCTGATCGTGAGGCATTTATGTTGCTATTTGTTTCATTCGATTTTATTACATCTTATCTATTATCACAGGCCTCTAGGGATATCATCAGCAAATGATGGCAAGTGGCATCACATCTGTGCCTCCTGGAGGAGCAGTGACGGGGCGTGGCAAGGCTACAAAGATGGAACCCTGACAAAGAGCGGTACAGGCTTCAAGAAAGGATACACTATCAAGGGGGGAGGATCGTTGACCCTCGGGCAGGAGCAAGATGCAGTGGGATCTCGGTTTGATTCCAATCAGGCCTTCATTGGAACCCTGTCAAACCTCAATCTGTGGAGCCTTATTCTACCGGTTGAAAAGATCAAAGATTTGTCCAAATCGTGCAAGCAAGATTGGGGAGGAGACGGTGACGTATATAAGTGGATTGATTTCCTCTACGGAATAAGAGGAGGAACCAGGATTGTTATGCCTTCTCCCTGTCCACAATAAACGGGTCACAACACGTCACTGTAGGCCTTCTGCACCCCTCATGTGATAGCATGCAGTTCGTGTTAATCGTAGTATAATACTGATTGAAAACTTGTCAGAGTAACTTAGTTGTTGATAGTGTTATAAGTCTGAAAAAAAAAGGAAAGAATAAAGGCTTTATAGCTTGTTCAGCGAGAATTGTTTGGTTGTGTCGTAATCCTCACTTCTTGTTTTACTTATCACATCTTTGCTGGGTAGCCGTACAATTTAACGGCACATTGTTTGCGTTGATTTCCCATTTATTTCCGTGCTACTTTTGCGACCTATATCTTGCGACTGTCGATATCCATTTATACGAGGTTGCGCAAGTTTTTGAGGCAGTTTAATTGAATCCTTCTCGTAACTAGAAAAACCTGTACCGCAGAACCTCGGGAAGTCCTGTCCTCTGTCTCTTGTTAACGGCTTCTTCTTCGCAGGGCAAAGCGATATTCTCTCTGCTCCACTCGGGTCTCTTGTTGACGTCTTCCCCTTAGCTGTTCACTCTGAATTTCAAGTCGGAGTTCTCGCTCCAGAGGAGTTTCAGTGGGAAATCTTCCACGGCGAGGATTTCCAGCCATTTAGTGAATCCAACGTTGCTGTGCTTGCTTTTCTGTGTTATTTGCATGGGAAATTTATCGTGATTCACCGACCGTAAACATTGTTTCACAGACATGATAGTGCGCCCTAGTCATCGGTGGCAAATTTCAATGCAGTGTTGCTTGGAAACACATTGGGCGACATTTGGGAAACACCAAGAGATACAAAGATTCATTAAAAATGGGGCCCCCAATTTTGCTAGCCGCTAGACCACGCGAGTTCTCGCGCTGTGCGCGCTCGCGACGAGATTATAAATTTGCTTTCGCGAAGGCACTTTTGGCGCCTTGCTTCGCGAGGAAGTAGAGGACTGGTATACACGGCTTATTTAACGAGCTTCCAGAAAGAAGGCATGAACAACATCAGTTTTTTTTTCAACGTCTACACTCTCAAAATAAACAGTGAAATATTTTTATCTTGGTATCCACTAATGATTGTTTTTTTTAAAATTGCTCTGGCGGCTGGTGACAATGTCAGTCAGCAAAATGTTGCATACGTCTTAGAGTGTTCACAGTCCCCTATTTTTACATTTGACACTCATCCACCGGGATAGACTCTGTGCATTTGCAACCAAGATGGCCACCGTAAGGCAAGCTCTCTTACTCAAAAATAGGGGACTGTGAACAGTCTACTGATACTTCTCAGCTTAAAGCTTGATCCCAGAGGTCCTGTCTTCCTTCGAGAAACGAGAAGGAAAAAAGAGAGTAGAGACAGGACCATGGGAACGAATTGGACCTCAAGAGACTGTGAAACAAGCCTGTAAATAAAATGATGGAGAGGAACGCTTTTTCCCTTCAGTTTAGCTTTCTCTTGTTCGCACACTGTTACCCAGTAAGAGCTAAGAGAGCCTGTTTCCCGCGCAAGGGAATCTAAGACAGTCTTGGATTCTGGATTCCAGGTACTGGATTCCAGTCTTTGTCGGTGGAACTTGGATTCTGGATTCCAATCGTTAGTGGGATTCCGGATTCTTTGAGCTGTATTCCGGATTCCAAAGCCCAGAAGTATGAATTCTACAAGCAAAATTTTCCCCGATTTCGGAATCGTGGTGAATTCCCTTACATGGGTCGAGCCTAAATATCGACGTTCAAAGCCTGGGGAATTACAGTCCTGGGAATTTTTGGTGGTGTACCCGCCCAGTTTTTCAAATCCTAACCCATTTTAGACCAAAAATGCCATTTTCCACACTCGTTTTCAGACCAGACCTCCAAAATCCATACCCGATTTCAGAAAAGGCAGAAATTATGTCATCACTACTTAGATTAGAGGGCAGACAAAAAAATTCTTCAAATCCATTCAGAATTCGCATATTTCTTTTTCTTTCTTACCCATTTAGAATTGAAACGATAAATACGTTCATACACTCCGATCACGTAGTTTCTCTCGAAAACCATACCCGATTCCAGACCAAAATGGGCAAAATCTATCCCTGTTTTCTGGCCAAAAAGGCGCAAAAACCCTACCCGGTGAGGCGGCACATACCGTAAAATTCCGAAAATAAGCCCCTCCATGTATAAGCTCCTCCAAATATAAGCCTCCCAAACTCGTAACGCAAAAAAACCTCCGTTAAATCGCCCCTCCAAATATAAGCCCCCCGAGGGCTTGTACTTGGAAATTGCCCTCAAAAACAAAGTAAAACAAAGGAAAAACGGTAAATCTCCTTTCAACTATAAGGCTAGCGCAATCGATTTTGAAACGCAAATTTCCCTCTGTAGATAAACCCTCCGAATATAAACCCCTCCAAAAATAAGCCCCTCAAAAAGGGCCTTTGAAAAATATAAGCCCCGGGGCTTCTTTTCGGAATTTTACGGTACCTATATAGCTTTTATAGGTGTTCAAAGCTACCCTGTTAACCGCTTTTTTGTTGTTACACCTGGGTATAATGTTGAGTGATGTGTTGCAGGGTATCACGTATAAATCATACCGCACCACAGGGCAGTCAAGCAATTAACTGATTTGCACGAGTTATCAATAACGGCATTACATTTTGACCTATTTGAAATGATTGGGACTTAACAAACACTGAGTCGTATAAAGAGTAGATCGGAAAGAAGTGGGAGGGGGGAGGGATCACACCTCAAGCATCCAGTACCTTATTTTTCTGGCCCCTACCCCCTTTTTTCTTGACTTCCACTTTTAAGCCCTTCTTCGATTGCGATTGTGGATTTCCCTTTATTTCTCCAACTTCCCAAGTTTTAAGAACTCTCACGGCACCTCCTGCTCATTTATCCCCCGCCTCCCGTCCCCTTTTCTCCCACACTCCCTTCCCCTGTCTTCCCTCACGGAGAACCACCAAAGGGTATTGTTTAAAATTGTTTAAAAATTTATTTGCCTAAAAAAGATTCAACAACGGCTCCTTTTACCGCTCACTCACAAACGAAGGTATAAAGGTAATGTCTTCAGATCTAGTGCTCGTATTCAAAGTGCCCAAAATATTTATACAGTGGTTTCAAAGCAAACTTGAATTGTTTTTTAGATTACATGATCCCTTTATCTATTGAGAGTATCAAGTGGCGTCAACTGTCGAGTACCAACACTCAACAGTTTATTCATTCCAATCACCTCGAAAATGACCACACCCATTTAAGTCTCAATTGCCATTAGCGGTGAAGGAAAACTAATCTCCTCCTGGAAGTCAGCCTCGTTATCCTGTGGAAATATAAGTTCTAAATTGAGTTCTGAAAGGGCCCAGTAGTCTCTAAGCTCATGTGCATCTTGAAAGGACTCCGGAGATAATCTACTCTGAGGATTCAGTGTCTGTTTTTAAATTGAAAAGCTAAAGCAACGGAGACCAATTTAAACTCAGCAGTAAATTAATGGCTACGGATGCTGACTTTAGTGCTGTTAACAGGTAACTTATAATCATAATAATCGCAGATGAACAACTGAGTTATTAGGATTATTACCCTGTATTTAATTTAGGAAAGAGGGAAAATTTAAAGTAAATTCAAATTCAAAGTGCCACTGAAATCTTCAATTTGTAGGTTGACAGAATTTAAAAAAATTACTAGATGACGAAAGAGTCACAAAGTGATTTCTTCACTTCTAAACTCACTACTTCATAATGATCTATAATTTACACTTCTTAACGAGAAACAGCCACTTATATTTCTTTGTAAAGCTGCGGCCAAATTATGTGTTTATTTTTACGGGATTGATTTCCGAGCATTTCCTACCCTCGATGCCAGATGTCTTCTCTCTCGCCCGCGGCAAGGAGCGTAAAGAACGTAGAGAGCGAAATGCTGAACTGTTCCCGAAGAGAACAAAAAATCTCTGGCACCCAGGGTAAGATTTTCCTTATAAATTTACGTGTTTAAAATAACGGAGTTTTTGTCCTCTTGAGTTTTTGTCATTACTCCGCAAGTGCCGTCATCGTTTTGGTTATGAAATAGGGTCAAAAATATATATTTTCTTTGTTTCCGCCGGATCATCCGCAAGGTTACAAGTTTAACTCAGTCGCGACCTTTCTATTTCAGTTTTCTCCTGGTGATAAATGTTTTCTCCGATAAACTCCGGCTGCTTAATGATATTGCAAAAAAAGCAGACCGTTTTGTTGCTAGTTATTGCGGCTAGTTCCATTAGCTCTTAAAAAAAGCCAAAGCCTTGCCATTTAGGGACGGACCATTAGAAAAGTTATGAGGGGGGAGGGGAATTTTCGAGCCGCAGGAATTTTTTTTCGTTATCAAATTCCTTGTATGAATTTTTTTTAGCCCATAGCATGAATATTTTTTAGGGTTAATTGGCGTGCACAAATTTTTTTTCATTTCATTTTCCCTTGCGCGAATATTTTTTTTGTACTTCGCCCGCCCCCCCCGCCCCCCATAAGTTTTCTAATGGTCCGTCCCTTAGTTCAGTTTGATTTTCAAACAGTCTGTCAAATCCTTGGCATTGCTACCTAATCTAAATCGTGCATATTACTACTCTAGAGAAGATTCGGGGATTTTCCTTATCTTTATGCTCGTGAGTGCATATCTAAAGGCTGACTCTGTTTATCAAAATCAAATATCTTAGAGATTATGATCGATTTGTTTTGGGTAATTATCATAACACTGCAAATATAAGGTCCATTGATTTTTGTCCTTTGTAGAAACAGTTTTGTTGAACACTTGTATTATACTCAATCAGGTCGCAATCATGTAAGGTGAGTTTAAAGCCCGCTGAGTCCTGGTGGCCCTGAGACAGTCACGATAAATATTGCATCAATTCGTCTACTTTTCAACTCACACAGGTGTAATATTCACCGCTTTCAAGTGCAATTATATTCAAAGGTCTTAAAATGACATGAAAAGTCTGGGTCCCCCCGCCTCCTGTCTCCATCATATAACTCAGTCACACGCAATACCTTGTTGAATTGTTGGTATATCCTTTGGGGTTATTTTTTTTGATAATCTCTAGCTATCTCTTCATTCTTTGAGTTTCTGTATGTAGTTAGATTTGGCGATAGGAAATAACAGAAAATTGTACTGACTTAAAAAACCCTAAGCCGTAATTTGACTTCATAATTTATCAAACTAAGAGCATGCCGATGCCAAACACATGTCCTGTTACAAATTTCCTCAAGTGGT